TGCTTCAAAGCTCCCGAGGGCCAACTTATGCCGCTCGGGTCCGGCACTTCTGCATCCCGGGGTCCCTCCGACAGCGCCTGCCCCCCCTGCAGCGGTGAGGCACAAGGGCGGTGGGTTTTTTTCTTGCAGTTATCTCCACTTGTGGGGTTTTGGTGAGAATGTTCCTGCTGTGCCGGGGGGGAGGCTGCTGTATCTCCGCCTCCCCTTTGGGCATCACCCCGATGTAATCCTGCGCGGGGAGGAGCGGCGTTCCCTCCTCACGTGCACAGGTTGGAGGGGAGAATTTATCACCAACTAACTCCAAAGCCCCCCAGACCTGGGGGCAGTTCCCCGCGGCCGTGGGGTGCCTTCCCTTGCCCTCCTGCCCCACTGCGCTTGTTTTCCCTCCCGCAAGCAGCAGGTCTATCGTTAAATCCTTCCTGTATCCCTCCCTCTAACGAACACAATTAGCCGTGAATCACGTAGGTCCCCTTTTTGTTAGGAGGTTAAACCCCCCGATACACTTTAATACATTTTTGCGGTCAGCACATTTAGAAAGTAATTAAAAGGCTGAGCCGCCTTTGCCTACATCCCCTCTCCCCCTCCCCGGCACGGCAGGATTTAATTGAGGCCACCTGAAAGTTAGTGGAAATAAATTGTGGCAAATAAAGTGGAGGTTGTAATTTAATTCTGGGAGAGGAGCCGTTCTTGCCTGGGTGTTTAGTTCATCAAGGACCGGTGTTGAGGGGGGGATTTATTTGTGTGAGGTGCTTTACTGATGAGAAAATGACATTTAGAGAGGACCAGTGCTTGTGCGTGGGGTGGTCCCGCTCTTTGGAGCATCGCCTGCGGGGTTTGGGAGCATCCCCGGGAGGCTGCAGACGTTGCAGATGTTGGGGTAGCGGGAGGGCTGCTGGCCCAGGAGCCCGGGGGGCTCTCTCAAGGGCTGGTGAGAAGCGTGCGCCAAAAATATTGGTGTGCTGCTGGTGCAAAACAGCCAACCCGGGGCTGGGGGCTGCAATTACCTTAATTGACTTCGTAGTCCTTCAACATCTTAATTGCCAGCTCTGCCCGAGGGGTGGTGGGGACCGAGGCAGTGGAATAAGGGAAGGAGCGGGAGCAGCTGCTGGCGGGAGGCACTGGAGATGGATGCGTTTTGGGATGCTCCCAAGACTTTTAACAGCGCCTTGCCCGGGAAGCGCCATGTAAATGTAACCTTCAGAAAGAGAGCGCAATTAAAACACCCCGCCGCCCGCTATATTAAAAGGGGATATTAAAGCAAACAGTGGCTCTTCCCGCTCGGAGGGATAATATCGAGAGCGTGTTTAGCGAGGGATTGGCAGGCGCTCTGAGCAAACAGCCGGGCTTGCAGCTGGGGTCTGCCGCTCGGCGCCACGCCAGGGCTCGGCTCGCGTCGTGCCGGCGCTGGTTGCTTGTGCCCAGAAACCTCTCGAATCCCTGACCGAAAATCCAGTCTTGGAATCCCTGGCACAGATCCCCTCCCTGGGGCTGAGCATCCCGCAGGACAGGACCTCTCCCGTGGCCGGGGCAGCCGGCCGGGGGGGGAGGGGGGGGGG